CCAACAATTCTTAAAAGCTCTTAGTGTTTCCCTTTTCTCAGTGCATTATGACTGTGAGTGAATGGCCATAGGTCCCTTTGAGGAAGGACAGGTATTGACTACTGAATAGCCATTGTTGTGTTTCAGAGATCTTCATCATAGGAACCTTCTGCATCAGTTACTGGGTTCCAGGATTGAGAAGTGCCTCAGGTCCAGCTGAGTAAGGGATCATAACTTTTCATTGGGCTGACTCCCCTCAGCCTCCTTATTTTTCTGATTTCTTTCATTGTATAAATTAAGCAATACCTTTGTTGGATGCTCATCTATCTTGTCTCTAGGAATGTGTTTCATTAACCATCGCCATCACTCTCTGCAGGTTGCTCCCCTAACCATTCCTCTTCATCTCTTCCTGATTCTGACCTTGCAGCTCCTTGTGATCATTGTGCCCACCTTGTTCCTGACAATGAAGTGATTCCCCTGGCCTCCATTGTCTTCTCATCCCTGTTGCTATCAGCCCAGCTCCATAACACCATCTCTTACCCTTAGCATTGGCCTATAGAGGACACCCTTCCACCAATCTCAGTGATGCTGGAGATGGAGCCCCTCTCCGCGGGGCATCCCTTATTGCTTTGGTAAGCAGTGTTTCCTGCAGGCCCTCTCACAGACCACAAGCTGGGGGTTTTCCAGCCTTCTGTACTGCATCGATTCTAGCAGGCCTACATTTATAGGCCAGGCAGAGGAGAAGGAGGGGCCACTGAAGTGGAAGGAAAACCAGGTGAGTATGGTTGTCACTGAGCCCAGAGAAGTGTTCAAGAAGAGTGCGTTCAGATGAGGACCACTGGATTTAGCAGGATGGAGATGTTTTGTGGAGTGGTAAAAGTAAAAACCCAGTTGGAATAGGCTGAGAAGAAAATCGAGACATGATGTAGTGAAGTTTTGCTGTGTCAGAAGCAGAGAGAGGAGGCTGTTGCTGGAGGGGAACAGGGACAAGGGAGGCTTTGTTTTTTAAGATGGGCAGTAGTACAGCGTATTTGTATGTTGATGGGAACGGTGAATTAGAGAAGTAGAAATTTATTACAAGGCAGAGAAGGGAGGGCTCTTTTCAGAATCACAAGTCCTTGAGTGGGAGATGGGATTCAGTCCACAGTTGGTGGAGACGGCCTTTGGAAGGCCTGTAAACCTTTCTTTTTATTGTAACAGAAATGAGGGTCGTAGGTAAGTGTGCAGATGCAGGTAAGTTGCTGGGTTTTGTGGTGAGACATGAAGTGGTTGTGACTTTGTTTTTTTCAAAGAAGCATGAGTGGGGCCATGTGGAGGAGGAGGCATATGCATTGGGAAGAAAGCGGACCTCTGGGAGAGGGGAGTGAATGCAGGCCCGCCTGAATGAGGACTGGGTGGGGCTTTTAAAGTCTTCCTGATTTTCTGTTTCTTCTTCCACACTGTTCCTCCTTTTCCTAAGGATCACAGAACTAATTTGTTTGTTTTTTCCTTAGAGGTAAAGTATAGTACAAAAAAACCTAGTTCTTTTTTAGTCCTTGGAAGTTGAAAAAGCACTAAAGTCTTTGCTTGTGTATAATAAATATAACTTTTTTTTGCTTGGTATTTTTTCATTTCTTACAAGGCCTACAATCAAACTTGGGTTGCAGATAAATGTGCGGGAAAGATACTTGTAACAGTATTGTACCTTCATTCATTAACAAATATTTACCGAGGCCCTACTGGGTGTAGCACTGTTCTATATCACTGAATCTAAGACACAAAGATTCCCTGGCCTCAAGATGTTACAGACAGGCGACATAATAACCTATATGTCGTGTTAGAAAGTCCTAAGTGCAATATTGTGGTCTTTTAAAGAACTATATGGGCTCAAATTGTCAACAGCAACTCAAAGGGAAAGGTTAAATAGGAAGCTTGGAGGACAACGAGATTATGTTAGTTGGGATTATATTAACAGTTTGAAAAGGAGGGTGCAAATGGTTGCACTTGAAGAATGTAATCAGTGTCACTGAATTGTACATGTAGAAATTGTTGAATTGGTATATGCTTTGCTGTGTATATTTTCAACAATTAAAAAAAGTCATAAGTGCTGTGAAGAAAAGGTAAATAGAGAGGGGACTCAAGAGAGTGGGGTTGTAATTTTCAATCATGTGGTCAAGGTCAACCTCATTGAGACGGTGACGGCTGAGCAAAGGTGTAAAGGAGATGAAGGAGTGAGTTAACTGGTTCTCTGGAGGAATACGGTAAACACATTCGCTAATGGTGCTGAGGGAAATCTTAAGGAATTGAAGGGAAAGAAGGCTCTGCTGTTACAAATTCTAAGGGAATAAAGTTACAAACATGGAGAGTTAACTGAGAATTTGCCTGGGTTGTGTGAATGAGAGTAACTGAGATGTGGTCTATTTCTGCAAAACAAATATCTTCAAAGAGATAGGTGGCAGAGGTCAGAGCGAGAGAACATGGGGACGTATTTGGGAGGGGCCTGAAATAACGTTGTTGCCGTGGAGTCAGTTCTGACTCATGGCAACCCCGGGTGTGCAGAATTAAAACTGCTCCGTAGGATTTTCAAGGCTGTGACCTTTCGAAAGCAGATCGCAAGCTCTTTCTTCCGTTACACCTCTGGATGGGTTTGAACCACCAATCTTTTGTTTAATAGTTGAGCACTTAACCATTTGTGCCACCCAGGGGCTCCTAAAATAACAGTATATGGAATTCTTAATTTCATAAATTAAGGATTGGAAGCAACCAAGGGGAGAGCTGTAGGTGAACACTGAGGAAAGCTGCACATTATGGGAGAATGTGGATCCCAATAACGCAGGATTGGTGAGCACTGAGATAGGGGAGTGTCTACTTCCCTGATTCCATAGGCTCCTGCTTTTTGTACTAACTGGTCAGTTGTAGATCTCTCTGTTTTGTTTGTGTTTATTTTCCTTAAGCTCATCACATCAGTAACATCCAAAGTAGAACATTATTTGATCCTGCTGCACCTTCAGTAGCTGGTTGTCTAAAATTCAAGTCCCAAGTAAAATCCACTAGTAATCATTTGGAGCCCTGGTGGCACAGTGGTTAAGAGCTATAATGAGCTACGGCTGCTAGCGAAAAAGGCTGGCAGTTCGAATCCAGTAGCCACTCCTTGGAAACGCTATGGAGCAGTTCTGTTCTGTCCTGTAGGGTCGCTATGAGTTGGCATCGGCTTGATGGAACAGGTTTGGTTTTTGGTTTTAGTAATCATTTGGTGACCTAGCTGGAGTGGAAGTCCCAGCTTAAGTCTAAACTGGATTATCCTCACAAATTCGGGTTATGTCTAAAGATGTCCTAGGAACTGGTGAGACAGACCTACTAGGAATCTCTTTACGTAAGGAATGGAGACCCCCCTCACCCTCTTCTCAGGAAATCATCCCTGGTGGTGCAGTAGTTAAAGTGCTCGGCTGCTAACCAAAAGATCGGTGGTTTGAACCCTCCAGCTGCTCCACAGGAGAAGGATGCGGCACTTTGCTTCTGTAAAGATTTATAGCCTTGAAAACCCTATAGGGCAGTCCTACTCTATCCTAGCAGGTGGCTATGAGTCAGAATCGACTTGACGATAGTGGGTTTGGTTTTTTTTTGAAGGAAAAAAAGAATCAGTAAGAAGTATTGGTCCAATGCCAATTCCTTAATGAAGAGAGAAGTGATTCTGAGTACAGCATGATATACATAGGGTCGCTATGAGTGGCAGCCAACTCAAGGGCACCTAACAACATGATGTCCTTAACCTAGATTATCTTCTGTTCCAGTCCCCATCGGTTTGTTTCTGGTTCAAGGAGAGAGCTGCCAAGTTAAATAGGAGGCGTTTGTCAAAAATTCTGTCACATCAGCAGCTTAAGGCAGCTCTGATTTGAAACTCGTGAAACATAAGTGCCTCAGAGTTTGGAAGGGAGATCCTTCCGTCAGTGGAGAACTTGGCAAGGTTTGGCTACATCAGAGCGGGGTCCACAGCTCCGAGGCTTTGGCACAGTGTGGCAGCTTTGGTAGCAGGGCCCAGGAGCAGCAACGGCAGCAGGAGGGGAGGACACCCCTCAGGGAGTCCCGTGCCAGCATCGTGTCACGTCAGAGAATTCTATGATGTCTCACACTGGTCCAGTCCAGCACTACCTGGCATTCACATTGTTTAATTGCATGAAATACCAGATTACTGGTGGCAACCCAGACAAAATCCAAAATAGCCAAGAAGGAACTAAAGGAACTTTTACGATTGCCACCCGCATTATATATTTACTAATGCTTCCTACATGCCAGGTGCTGCTCTAGGTGATTACATGTGTCAAGGCATTTCATCTTCCCAACATATAACTCGGAAAGTCACATAAGATATAAAAACTGTGATTATTTAACCATGAAGGAGGGTGTGGACAGATAGGGGAGAAAGATTTTCCCACTGTATATTTTTTTAATGCTTTCTGGGTTTTTTAAAACAATATTTTCAAAAAAAAAATTCTTTGCTTTTAAATACCATCTGCAGTCCCTGTCCTTAACCAAAACCAAAGCCTTTGCAGTCTAGTCGATTCAGACTCACAGCGACCACTTCAGAACTGCCTCATAGAGTGTCCAAGGAGCGGCTGGTGGATTGCAACTGCTGACCTTTTTGGTTAGCAGTCAAACTCTTAACCACTGCGCCACCAGGCCTCCTCCCTGTCCTTCCATCACTATTATTTAAACTTATGAAAGACTTTATCACGCCAGACACACCGGCGCGTCATTCAATTTAACTCTCTACTGAAGACTTAACTGGGCGCCCTGGCAGGAAAGGGCGGACCTGCGGGAAGGGGCGCGGCGGAGCCACACCGCAGCCCACCGGTCGCGACCTGGACGGGAGTCGGGCTCTCGCGGGATCCGGAACACACCGGCCGCCGGCCACGTGACTCCTTCGTCCCGCCCAGCTCCCACCCCTCCAAACGGAGGAGCCACGTTGGCGGAGTCGCTCGGTCAGGGGCGGGGCCGCAGCGACGACCCGAGCGTGGTGCGTGCCCCACCCCTCCCGCCCGGGGCCCGGATGAAGAGTAACGCCATTACCGCAGGAGCCCGCGCGCACTCGCGGACTGCGAGTGGACATCGGCTGGCCGCACCATGAGACTCCTCCCCCGCCTGCTTCTGCTTCTCCTGCTCCTGTTCCCCGCCACCCTCGTACTCAGAGGCGGCCCCGGAGGTAAGGCAAGGACAGTGGGTGGCGGGGTTTGGCCGGGAAGGAGACGCCAGCGACGGCAACTTTGAAGTTGGGGGCTGCCACGGCTCCCGGGGTCCGGCGTCCACTTCTTGGGCCTCTGTGCACCTTGTCCCCAACCCCCGGCTCGTTCAGGGGCCCCAGCGCGCTGGGTGAGTCCCGGCGGGAGCCTCCGTTCCCTGCCACCCGAAGTGCGGTGAGCAGTGCCCGGCGACCTTGCCTCTGGGCCTGAGGGCGCCTCGCAGATGTGTCCGGAGCTGGTGACCCTGGGCTTGTGAGAGGGCGAGGGGCCGAGCGCGGCGGGCTGCGCGGAGCGCGAGCAGCCCGTTTCACTACTTCTGGCCGTCTCCGGGGCGCTCCACCCTCTTCCCCTCGCCCTCAGGGCTGACGTGTCGTTAGCGCGCTAGCAGTCCTCGTTCATTCATTCATTGAAGCCCGTGTTGTCTGCCCACCTAAACTGTTAAATCCAAATATTTTATTCTGGCGATCTGCTCTGTTTATCAGCACCCTTCCCTGTGTGTTACCTGGGGTCTTGATTTCAGAGAAAGTCCTCATCCTCACCCGCAGGTCCGTTCCTCCTCACTCCCGTGGGGTGTCTTTCTATTACTTCTGCCCCCCTTTTTCTGCAACTTTTATTTGTGGAAACATCGTGTTGTGCTGAAAAAATAGTCTTATTTCGAGATTTAAGTTTGTTTTTTATGTAGGTTTATTTATGTAAGTTTATTTTTCCAACAGTTAACCTGGTGTGAAAGTAACTCTTAGATGGCATAACTCAAAAAATCTAGAGTCCTGGCTTCTTGCCCTCGTTTTGTCATTAAGTTCGATTTACTAATCTAAGAAATGAAAGAATGTCTGACTAAATGATCTCTAGAATTGCTTTCCACTCTCAGTTGAAGCATTCTGTGTGGCAAAAATGAATGATAGTGGCATGTATCCACGAATTACGTTGTCAAAGAAAAGTGAAATTACTGACTTCTGTTTAGTGGGTAGAAAACCAAGTGAGAGATAAATCAGAACTGCTAATGAATTCATTTGCAGGTTTAAAGAGAACTTGTTTTTTTTTTAGGAGCTGCTTGCTGGTTGTTCTCGTTTAGCTTTTTAAAGAAAATTTGGCAATTCTGGTTGTATTAGAATCTAGATTGTATCTTCTCAGGTTTTAAAAACTTTTTAAAGAAACACCAGCTCAATATCTAAACCGAACTTAATATTTTGTTAAACATTTTTTATGAGAAATAGTCCTTCCAAAGATGTTTTCTCTCAGTTTTTCCAGTTGAAAATTGTTAGACTTTGTAGGCACAAAAGTCCTATTGGTTAACATTAAAATAGTTTAATATCCAGTGAAATGTAGAGTGCAAAACCATTATATATTCAGAAGTCCTCAGATTTAACAAAACACGACTTTAAAATTGTTTTATATCAGACATGAATATTTTTGTTACTGGATTTTGAAAATGACCTTTGGTAAGTAAGCAGTAGAAGCTGGTCTGTCAACCCGCCACCCCCAGTTCATAATGTGTGGTTGAATGTTCTTTAACATTTTTGCAGAAATCTTAGCCAGTAAGAACCCAAGGAAGTGGAAAAGACTGAAAGTGCATGGTCCTTATGGTATACTGTTTTTGCTGGGTATTGCAGCATATGCACACGCTTCCTTGCCTGCATTTCTTCTACTGAAATGCCACATCATCATTTCTGAAAAGTGTTGGAAGATTTCACTAAAACTTTGAAATTCTTCTGAGGATTTTGCCTGAAATACATTTAATGTGACTTATTTAGAGTACTTTTGAGTATAAAATAATGATTTATAGTTTCTTGACATTACAAACTATACTTATTTAACTTTTACTTTCTGATTTTAAGTGTGGGGGAAATAAAATATCTTAAAGTTTGAAGCCATATGCAAAAGTAAATGCATTCTTTCTTTCTCTCATATCAACTCTGGAGTTACTAATACAGATTTCACTAAGCAGTATGTATGTGTTTTATACAAGCTAGTTTTTACCATGGATGCAGTCCTTGGAATTACATGCTGTCAAATTTAGACAGGTTTAGCTGTAGTCAACAGTAATAACAGTGTTTCTTACCTGGATATCGAGAATGCTGTTTTCTTTAACGCTTGAGCTTTTTGTTTTATAGAATTGGTGATGGATTTAATTTTGAAGTTTCTTATTTTTGGAACAAACTTATTTTCTTTAATTTGCTTAACAAAATTACTTGAAGTTACTTACTGTTTTCTTTGGACTTAAGGGCATTTTTAGTTTCTGTAGTTCATTTTTCAAACTGTTAAGTGCTTTTTAGAATTAAACTGCATGTGTCATTAAAACTACTATTAGTAGTAAAATAAATCTTATAAGTATTGTTAGCTGCAGTATAATCTGGCATCATACAGGTAAACTGGGAGATTAAGTTACCCTTAAGGGGAAAGTTTGTTGCCTATTACTTGGTATTAAAAAACATATTCCCAGGGTAAAGGTTAACTGCTTGTTATACATTTTGTTAGGCTCATTAGCAGTGGCTCAAGATCTTACAGAGGATGAAGAAACAGTAGAAGATTCAATAATTGAAGATGAAGATGATGAAGCTGAGGTGGAAGAAGATGAACCCACAGATCTGGTCAGTGTTGCATACTACATAGTACATCTAGGGTGTATATCTGGAGCCCTGGTGGCACAGTGGTTAAGAGCTTGGCTGCTAACCAAGAGGTCAGCAGTTTGAATCTACCAGCCGCTCGTTGGAAACCCTGTGGGGCAGTTCTACTCTCCTGTAGGGTCACTGTGAGTCGGAATCAACTCGACGGCAACGGGTTTGGTTTTTGGTTTAGAGTATATATAATAAATTCGGAATTTCTTTTTCATAGAAAAATTTAGTATTACAATTCATGCTTTTAAAGGTTTGTTACTGTGATCAAAGTGGATTGAAGTTGGGAGAATAGGGGCCATTTCATTCAGGGTAGAGCATAAGTGTTTTCTGAAACACGGAAGGAGACGTGGAACAGAGAACAAGTCACAATCATTTGGACGTGAGTCTCAGGGTAATAGTCTGGGAATAGCACTGGAGCATGAGTTGAGAGATTTGGGATACATGGATTTAGCTTTCTGACTGGGCAGTTTTCATCTCTGGGTCTCACTTTCCTCTTTCATTCATTCATTCATTGAACAAGCAAATATTTATTGAGTGCCTACTAACTGTCAGGGGTGCTGGGGTGAACAAAAAACTCATTTTCTCTGTTCTTGTGGCGTTTACATTCTCTGGGCAGCATGTATGTGTTCTGGTGGCAGGGGGTGAGGGGCAGACAATGAACTCTGTCCTCTGAAGAGTAATCAGGAGGTTAGAGAAGATGTGTTAGAATTCTTCCAGCTCGGGAATTTTCATTGTAAAATTGTACTCTGACAGTAGAAATATTAAGCTGGAACTGGGGTTGCTGCAGCATGCTTCTAGCGAATCCCATCTGTCCTGGACTACTAAATCTGTCCTACGTAGATTTTTACTTTTTTTCCTCTTCCTTGTGTCACACTTGAACCTGCAACTTTTAGTGATTTTAGATTTTTTCACTTTTCCCTATTCTCATATTATGTCAACATCAAAACATTTACCCTTGTATACAGGTTTTCCTCCTCTTCTGATTTATCCACATTTTTATGGAGTATGCCTCCAACCTAAGCAAATCTTGCTGTTGTGATGATGTAATTTTTGAGTTACCGTTTTCATGCATCTTCACATAGTGTTTCATCTGAACAGAATAAAAACCAGGTGCCGTCGGGTCAACTCCAACTTAGGTGACCCCACATGCGCCAGAACAGTACTCTTACTAATTATTGTACTTGCCTAATTCCCTTCCCTTAGGAAATGTTTACTATGTGCCAGGCCTTTCATATGTGTGTATTTCAAATATTTACCTCTTTTAATCTATCGTTTCTGTTCAGTTTTAGCAACAACATTACCTTTGATGTCAGAAAGTGAAGGCCATTGAGTATGAATTCCTCTATATTTTCTACTTTCTCCTTCTAAATGTAATTCATCCATTATTTCTACACTTGATCATTAAGAATGATGAGTAGTCCTTAGTATTCTCTAAAGCTGGCCCTACCACCTGTGCTCTTGATCCCATCTCCTCCTGTGGGGTCTTAGTAGATGACTGCCTTTCCTTTTGTAACTTCCTGCCTTGATTCTTCTCAGTGACTTGTTTCTGTTGAGCCACACATGTTTATACACTGTTCCTCTACTTTAAATTACTACCCGTTTTCTTCTCCTTACCAGCACTCTGCTTGAAAGAGTAGGCTATACAGCTTTTCTCTACTGCTCACTTCACATTCATTCTCATATCTAGTGAAACTGTTCTTCCTAGCAATCTAATTGTCAGATTCCTGGCCTGTTTTCCATAGCTATCCTGTTTGAGCTATTTTCTGTCTACCCCTCTTCTTAGTCTTTCCTGCCCAGCTGCTGTTTCTTGATTTCTCTCTCTGCTACCCTCTCTTCCCTCTGCTCACTTCCTAAATTTTGGTGTTGCCTGTAGTTCTGCCTTTATTGTTTTATTTTTCTTCCTCTCTATACTTCCCGTTTGGCAAGCTCACCAAAACCTGTGGTTTCAGCTACTTCCACTTTATGTTGATAACTTTTAGATCTCTTTGTTTCTACCCACTTACCTTACTGAGCCCCATACCTATATTTCTAGCTATTGAACATATGGTTGAGTGCCTTCTCTCAAGTTTGTGAGCTGGATATGGAGTCTTCAAAGCATAAGACAGTCTTTGTCCTTGAGAAACCTGTCTGTTGGGGGAAAGAGTATTTTACCTAAATGGAAAGTAGTTCACGTAAATGGCATTATAAAAATGCCAGTAGGCGGTGATGCCTGTAGCACCCCAATTTATTAAGGGCTTAGACACTTCAAATATATGAACTTCTCTGTAATCCTTATTGGTGCCTGGATAAATGATCCAGCATTGATATTTAAAGTAGTAAATATAAAATTTGTTCAAACTTCTATCAACTTTTTGAAGTATAACTTCTGTACCATATAATTTAACTATTTTAAGTGTATAGTTCAGTCATTTCTTCCAAATTGTGTAATTCTCACAGGAAAATTCTTCTGTTAATCAGGATGGAAATCTTCATAGATAACAAGGTGCTCTAGAGCAGGGATCATCAAAATGTGGTCTTGGACCAAATCTGGCCATGACCGTTCTTTTACGTATTTTCTGTAGCTGCTTACACGTTACAGCAGCAGAATGTACTAGTTGCTGCAACAGGGACCTTATGGCCTGCAAAGCCTAAATTGTCTTATTTACTGTCTGGCCCTTTACCGAAAAAGGTTGTCACCTCCTGCCCTAGAACCTTATAGCTCAAAGTGTGGTCTGAGTACCAGCAGTGTCAGTGATTCCTAGGTGCTTGTTAGAAATACAGGATTTCAGCTTTCACCCTAGACCTGAGTCAGATCTGCAAGGTCCCCTTGAGATTGGTGTGCAGCTTACAGTTGACAGAAGAAGTTCAAACCATTACTAATATCAGCAGAGCTTTAGAGATGGTCTGTTTTATCCCAAATCTACTAAACATTTTATTTTTAAATGCTGTTGTATTTTCCCTGTGGTAACCCCTTTTTAATCCTGTTTTTCTTAGGCAGAAGATAAAGAGGAAGAAGATGTATCTGGTGAACCTGAAGCTTCACCAAGTGCAGATACAACTATCTTATTTGTAAAAGGCGAAGGTAATACAGAAGTGCTAGTTTTAAGTAAGATACCAGAATTTAAAGTAACAAACTCACATTTTGGGAAGTATTGGTAATGCTTAAGATCTTTATTCATTTTCCCCTTTAACGTAAGAAGCATGGCACAAACAAGGTGATTTAAAAAAAAAACCTTATATGTATGAATACCCATATCTGTGAGGTAGTATTCCTGGCATTTAAGGGGATAAATAAATAGTGCCCCTTTTAACTAGAAATTGTCTCTTTCAACAAGATTGTGAAATGTTTTTCAAACTGCCTCAGCAAAGTTAACTTTATCATAGTTTAAATGTTAAACATTAGTGAAATGTTAAATCAAGACTTTGGTTAAGCCTAGGTCTCATTGAAAGAAAATAACTATAATGGTTCATATTCATTGAGAGCTGTATGCCAGATGGAAACCCTCGTGGTGTAGTGGTTACGTGCTGTGGCTGCTAACCAAAAGGTTGGCAGTTCGAATCCACCAGGCACTCCTTGGAAACTCTATGGGGCAGTTCTACTCTGACCTATAGGGTCACTGTGAGTCGGAATCAACTCAACGGCAGCAGGTTTTATATGCCAGGCACTGTTCTCAATACTTGGCATGTATTCTTTTATTTAATCTTAAAAATAACCTTGTGAGGATATCTAGGTCAATTGGCATAACAAAGTTTATTAAGAACATGTTCTGCATCCTGCTTTGGTGTGAGTAGCATCTGTGGTCTTAGAAGCTTGCAAGCAGCCATCTTAGCGCATCAGTTGGTCCCAACCACCTGGAGTAAAGGAGAATGAAGAACGCCAAAGACACAAGGAAAGTAGTAGCCCAGGAGACAGAAAGGGCCACATAAACCAGAGACTCCATCAGCCTGAGACCAGAAGAACTAGATGGTGCCCGGCTACCACCAATGACCACCCTGACAGGGAAC